TATTTATGTATAAAAATATCACTAATATGTCTTATTGCATAGTTGTGGGAAGTATATAAAGACAGAAGATGCGTTCGTACGTACTATGGACATCGACAAGCTGTACGAGATATAAGTTTTGATAATGATGGGAAGCGATTTTTATCAGCGGCTTATGATCGCTATGTAAAACTTTGGGACACAGAAACGGGAGCTTGTATTAGTCGCTTTACGAGTAGGAAAATTCCATATTGTGCCAAATTTAATCCTGATCCAGATAAACAGCATCTCTTTGTAGCTGGTACCAGTGATAAAAAGATTATTTGTGTAAGTAAAAAAATTAATTTATCGAAAACAGTGTATTAATAAAATTTAAGATTTCAATGATACGAAATGTATAAAAATGATCTTATTTATTCTTGATAATAAAAGTGCAACACCAAAACATAAAGCATTATTTAGTAACATATAATTTATTTAAATATTAATGATTTAATATCTGTTATAGTGGGATATACGATCTGGCGAAATAACACAAGAATATGATAGACACTTGGGTGCTGTGAATACCATCACATTTGTTGACGAAAATAGACGATTCGTTACAACCAGTGATGATAAAAGTCTCCGAGTTTGGGAATGGTATGAGTCCATTAATATGTGTAAAAAATTATTTCCGAAAAGTGGGTTGATCTATTATTAACAATAAATTCTCTTTTATAGGGACATTCCTGTGGATATGAAATACATAGCTGATCCATCCATGCATTCTATGCCGGCGGTAACACCGTCACGAAATCAAAAATGGCTCGCTTGTCAAAGCATGGATAATAAGATCGTTATATTCTCTGCGTTAAATAGATTCAAAATGAATCGAAAGAAGACCTTCACAGGGCATATGGTTGCGGGATATGCTTGCGGTTTAGACTTTTCACCAGATATGAGGTAATTTATTTATATTTAAAAAGTGCGCTTTTTTTAATGAAATAAATTTCTAATAATATTTATAGAACTTGATTATTTTTATAAGAAATAATTAAATTTTCAGTAGTATTATACGTATAGTATTCTCTTATTTCAGTTATTTGGTATCGGGCGATGCAGATGGTAAATGTTACATATGGGACTGGAAAACGACAAAATTATACAAAAAGTGGAAAGCGCACGATGGGGTGTGCATTGACGTATTGTGGCATCCACATGAGCCTTCTAGACTTGCTACCGCTGGCTGGGATGGTAAGATCAAGTATTGGGATTAAAATATTTCCAATGAGCTGTAAGTCACAGTTAAACAGCCTTGTCAACAATAGAGATATTTTGTATATTTGTAAATAAATAGATAATAATTATAGCAAAATATTTTTAAACATTAATTAATTGCTATTGACAATGCTTATAAATGTTGAATATATGAGTGCTCTTTTATATTATAGATTATACAAGTAACATTAAATTATTTTTCTAATCTAAAGAAAACTGCTCTCACTTCTTAATCCTTTCATCACCTATTCACTAATTTGATAATTCTATCGATAGTAAGTAGTTATTTGAGTAAAAAATTATTAAAAATCAATATTCAACGATTTTTAGTAAATATCTTGTTAACTATTGCGAAAATGATATTTGCAAAATGGTAGAGGACTTTCCGGGTCAGTTTAATCCGCTCTACCTATCGACGAGCGTTGTCGGCAGAATTATCAAACAGCCTGTATAATCAGAATATATTGTAAATATTGAGTTAGGGAAAAAGTCTCTTTACAAGTTGGTAAAAAGACCTTTCCCCATCAATATCTTTGTTAAAAATGATCAAAATTTAAATTTAAAAAAAGGGTTTTAAAACTTGAAATCTCTACTTTTGAATGATTACTATATTTTTTGAATTTATGCGAGTTTTGTCATTTTTACATATAGAAAACCTACGAGCTGAAAAAAATGAAAAATTTTCTTTTCACTTTGTAGTGTGCTCAAAAAAATTTGAGCAAATTTTCAACTCTATCGTGAAAGGTTGAAGCTTTCCCTACAAAATCGTTTTTTAAAAATGTTCCTACAATTTTTTGTTCCTGAGTTACTCGCGGATTAAGTAAAGAGGAACATTCAGACTTATTGCTCGTAACTCCATTAAAAATCATCGTACCACAATTAAAAATACAGATTCTTAAAGCTGAAACGTTGCTCTATTAAGTGTAATTGCTAATTTAAAAAAAATAGAATATATGTGTTGCTAAAAAAATGTTTATCAACTTGTAAGGGAACTTTTTCCCTAATTTAATACATGTAATTAAGTTTGATTATTTCGGTAAAAGACTCATTGCTACATGACCATTTATTGCGACGACATGTATAACGCACAATATTGAATCCCGTTATCTAGTTACACGAATATACCTACTATTACTTATTTAATATATCGATTGTCTCCAACCCTCTCCAATATCAAGTTAGCAACCCGTGTTTCGTGGGATGTGGCATGAAAAATCAATAGAGCCAGCGTCAGG